ATATACACACACACACACACACACACACACACACACACACACACACACACACATATTTTTTTGTACGACGTACTATCACGACAGTCACACGTTGACTACTGAGCGAACTAAATTTCCCACAGCACTGATTGGACAAGCGATGTCAAGTCATCATCTGCAGCCAGTGATGGCCAAGCGGGCATGTCAGAACTAATTAACATTTTGAGTCGTGTGTGTTTCACCCTGCATGGCAGAGGCTCCGTCGAAACCCTGAGACCGACTCACCGAACCCTTGGGCTTCGATCGCACCCAGGTTAAGAAACACTGCATTAAGATAATGATGCCATATCTTTTTTTGTGGTCATTACCCAGCTTCCCGGCCAGCTCCGAGACATGGTCCGAGTTGGCTGCTCCGGCTTGGGAATCATCTAGAATGACAAATAAATAAATACACAATTGTTATGAGCAAATTATTACGAATTGAGGAGAGTAGACATAATTGATGTTCAAAATATTGAATGAATCTTTCAAACAAACCAAAACGTCAACATTTCTTTTAAAACACATTCACACTTATCCACAGAGACAGAATCCGTGTCCAGCAGTTGTTTGCATGCCTGGAAACATGAATACCAACTGTCCTGTGTGCATGTGTGTGTCCAGGGGGCCAGTATTTTCCTAAAGGGTCGTGTCCTTCCAGGATTTAATATGGAGACACTGGATATGTGGACTCAACCTCTGTATGCCTGTGTGTGTGTGTGTGTGTGTGTGTGTGTGTGTGTGTGTGTGTGTGTGCGTGCCTTGGCGGTCACAGCATAGAAGCCAAAGTCAGCCACCATGATGTGACTTTGCGGCTCTTGCACAGAACCATCAAGCTGCAAACTTTTTGACGTATGTGCTCAGGCCCTAATAATAATAATAATAATAATAATAATACCGTAATAATAATAATGATGATACTACTAATAATAATAATATTAATATCAACAAGGACACTTAGCAATTTCAATAGGGTCTTTGCAAGTCAGTGCTCAGGCTGTAATAATAAAAACAATAAACAAACAAAGTATTTTAAAGAGGCCCTACACTCTTCTCACCTCATGCTCGGGCCCTGATAACAACTAAGCAATATAAGTAGCTCTTGGCACGTCATTATGAAGAATCTAAGACGTTTCAAAAACGGCTCAGCAACTTGTTTTCAGGTCTGAATGAGAAACAAAGTAATTTCATCTTTCCCATTGTTTGGGCTAATAAGAAGCGAATACAAAGCGATTTCAATCGGGTCATTGTACCTCCGTTCGCATGACTTAATAACAGTAACAATGAAAATACTTTTATAGCGATTGGAGGAGTGCATGGGCCCTAATAACAACAACCAAGAAATGAAGCGATGACAAAATAGTCTTTGTACAACCATGCTCAGGCCATATTAAGTGAAAGGACAATTTCAGTGCAATCCTTGGAACTTTGTGCTCAGGGCCTAATCATTGAGAACAAATAAAAACCAAGCACTCTTATGAGAATCTTCATGGTGGGCGGTGCATGTTGGACATTGGGCTTCAGTGGTGTCTTTGGTGTCCTATACCACCGCTTGACAACAGTGACAACATCACATGGCAAAATAATATAACTGGTTATACATAATAAAAAAACGATGCGTGGCAATCCACAGAGAGAGGTATTTTGTGTGTTTTCAGGGTGTATATTAAGAAGCAGTTAAAGCTTTGTCTCCCTATACATCACCTCCGAACAACTTCAAACTTCTATCCAATATAGCGGCTCTTGTCAATAACATGACAAAAACGCACAAATAAACAGACTCGCTTGAGATGTTGATGATTGACAGACCTCAGTGCTCATACTGTACATACACTGTATTTAACTGCTCTGAAAGTGTGCAACAAAAAAAAAAAATCTTTTTATGGTTTAAAACCAGCCAGCCAGAGACAGAGTTGGTGGACCCCTGTCCTCACAATGTCGTTTTTTTTCTTGAAAAGTCCGCTTTGAGAATGAATTTTTAACCATGTCCTTGCCTGGAAATCAATCTTTGGATTGCATATTTAGCTCATCCAATCAGAAGGGTAAACATTGCAAACGAGTTGGCTCAACAAATCAGGGGATGGAAAAAAAAAAGACATTACAGTACTGTACTGAGCTGTGGCAAAGGTGCAAAGCGGTGAATTTAAAATCGGATTGCTTAACAAAAGTAGTACCATGTTCAGTCTGCATGTGTCAAAAACCAGCACTCGGGATTCTGAAGGCTCTGGGCAGCTTACTGGATGTTCAGATGGCAACAGAATAGAAGCTGAAATCTGACCGAGCCAAAAATTGTAAATACACGCGACTGGAAACAGGGAAACCAAAACATAGACACGTTATAAAATAAAAGCAATACATTGTTGGGGGTAAATTAATACAATTTCATCAAAGTTGTCAATGTCGGTCAGTGCCTCTGATAGTGTTTAGGCCCCCAGAGAAAGGTTTGAAGGGAAGCCCTGACTGCACGCCACTCCAGAAGCGCCTTGCGGTGCAGTTCTTTGATCCTAATAAACAATGCGAGTTCCACAGGGTTTTTGTACCACTATGCTGGGGCCCTTTCACAAACAAAGTGATTTCAGTAGAACCATCCCCATGGGCGGGCCATAGGGGCCTATAGAGAGATTCATCCCCGTGAAGGTAAAAAAACAACCATCAAAGACAAAAGAATAAAATATATATTTATATATA